CCGATTGTCCTCAGGGCACTCAGGCCCGGTCCTTACCTTAAGCCCGCTCCTCTCCGTTCCGCCCCCACTTGCGGGTGGCGGATGCGGGCGTCTGGGGTACTTTTCTGTTGGGAGTTGGTTTTAGGCACGTAATCTGTGGGTTTTATTTATTTTTCCCCTCCCAGTTAGGTTCCCCTCCGAGATTCAAAAACGTCCCCCAGACCCGCCAGTGCGAGGGTTTCCTGGTGTTTGGAAACTTCCTCTATTAAGACTTTCTTCCTGGGACGGATCTCCGTCCCTAGCTCTTTTGTCTCTCTTTTTATCTTTTATATTTTGTCCTTCCTCCTTTTGAAGACAATGGGCTGCTCTTATGGGCGCCTGATGACCTCAGCTAGTGATCATAAGTTGTTTTGTGAAGTTTGCTCTGCGTTCAATTGTTCTTTCGATGAATTTGTAGGGGAGAAAGTGGTCTCCCCGTCCTATTCCTCCGCCATCTTGGCTCCTCCTCCCCAAATTAGTTTTTTAAACATGAAAGCCAGTGTAATTTAAATTTTTTTTATTTTATATTGGAGTAGAGTTGATTATCCTGGCTTCCCAGGTGGTGCAGTTATAAAGAATCTGCCTGCCAATGCAGGAGACGCAGATTTGATTCCTAGATCAAGAAGATCCCCTGGAGTAGGAAATGGCAACACACTCCAGTATTCTTGCCTGGAAAATTCCATGATCAGAGCAGCCTGGCAGGCTACAGTCCATGGGACTGCAAAGTGTCAGACACGACTGAGCAACACATATGCACACACAGTCGATTTACAGTGTTGTGTTAGCTCAGGTGTGCGGCAAAGTGATTTAGTTATACATATTCATATTATCTGTTCTTTTTCAGATTCTTTCCCCACATAGGTTAAAGGATTGGCCTCAGTTTTCTTCTCTATTATATAAAAAAGTTACAGTCTACAATACCTAAGGTCTCTTTCCGTTTTGATATTCTGTGAATTAGATTAAGGCCTGAAATGTATTTGGCTCAGTGCCTGGCATATAACTAGTTCTTAATAAATGGTAGTAATAACTACCACTTATTATTATTATCATTATGAAATCTGACAAATTTTCACTGCTGATTCTGAATTTGATCGACTAGAAAAGTGATTAGAATCCCCATAAATTTACTGACTCCTCTACTGGACAGTGAAATTTCTAGGGGCAGTTTTTCCTCTTGGCAGCTTCAAACTGCCCATTCCCAATTTATCATTGGTTCACAGAATCTTAGGTTGGAAGAGATCTGAAAGGTCATTTTCCAACAAAAGAGGTAGCAGAGGAAGAAATGAGATGTCTCAGAAGGCAGACTCCTCTCAGAATAATTCCTATTTGTAGAGTTTCAAGATGAGTCCCATGGAGTACTTTTTCACTTCTCCTTGTACTAAACTGCCTGGGTTTCTCTTCATTGCATTTCACTGAATTTTTCTGTTAAGAGCTATGAAGGACCTTGGCAGAAAGGCCAAACACTAGTGGGGCCTCATTATCAAGTAATATGTTGCTAAGGATCAGGCAGAGTAGAACTTAAAACTGCCGAGTTTCCTGCCATATGGCATGTTACAGAGGGAGAGAGGAGGGTCAGATCGTGAGTGCTAATCTTAGCATACAAAAAGGGAGCATTTGGGGAAGACTTGGATTTCATCTTTTTTTCCAGTGTTCGTGCTGGTTGTACTCTAACCACTGCTATTTCATTGGTACCTTGTTCTTCTGGCTACTGAGGCATTGAAAATAGGGCTGAGTTGGATAACCAGCAGAGCTGAAGGTCATCAAAGAAGGTGGTTTTCTTTTTCTGCTGCAGCTATTGATCCTTATTTGGAAGCTTCATTCTGGCCAACTGGCTCTAATCAAGGAAGCTAATGAGTTCATTAAGGTATACCCCAAAGCAGGAAGCAGTGTGTGCTTGTACACCAGTAGAGGGGTTTCTTCAGTATTATTTAGGTTTGAGAACCCTACTCTGAGAAAACGCATATAACTGCAGTGGAACATAACCGTGAAAGCCATGGACAACAAGATGAATGAATCTACATTCATACGCTGGATTTGACAGATGAATGGGGGCTCCAAGTCTTTATTTTATTTTTTAAACAGAGCTAGATTTTCCCCTTCTAAGTATATATGCATCCAAATGGAAGAATATACCCTTTGAGTAAGCTACATGCTGGCCCAGGGATTGGTTTACGAAGCAGAAAAGTGGTTTACCTGTTTCCTACCTGACTTTCCAGTTCTCTCATGCCTGATGCAGTGAATGCTGTGTGTGTGTGCCAGGCAGGGCACACTCACAGAAGGCAAGGGTGTTGGTGGAAAGAAAAAGAGAAACACAACATGGAGAAAAAAAGGTCAGTGAGTAACTTGCCCCTCTTAGGAAACAACCTCCAGGCCTCAGGAGACTTGGTACAGAGGCAGCTCCCCATTATCTTCAGAAGGTGAAGCCCAGAGGCAACCCAACTTACAAAGAGAAGCATTTGGGGGCTGCCTTTGCTGTTCTAAACAATGATGGTGCCAGAGTCCCAGAGAAACCTGCAGCCCATGCTACAAACTCCAGTCCTGAAGTAGTTTATGTAATCCCCACAGTGGCCACCTCCTTTGGGTCATCACCAGACAGGCTCTCCTTCCCATCCAACAGCAAATGCCTTCCTTTCTAAAGGAAAGAAAGGCTGACTGGCATATATTGGATTTTGACTGAGGTCTTCCCATCCCATGTGAAACCCATCAATTTTCTAGAGGAATAATCCAATGTCCTTATGAATAGATACAGGTGCTCTGGGTGGCAATTAACAGGGACCTAATGGACTGTAAACTTTCTAGGCTCCAGGTTGAAGAGGGAATGTACAAAGGGACTAGCCAGTAAGGAGGCTATATCAAAACTCTAAAGCCCAAGCATAGTACTTATGCTTAACCGTCTACAAACAACAACAACAAACCACATTTACTCTAGAGATATTCAGAATCTGAAATCCACTAGTCCTTGTTGCCTCCCCATCTTCCCCTTCCTCCTCTTTCTCCAGTATCCAGCACAATGCCTGGCACGTTCTAGGTGTTGAAAAGATATGTGTCTAACCAGTAAAATAAGTAAATAACTAAAATACATGCCTTTCTGCAAATGATTTAGTTCTTCTGATATTCCACTTCTTCAGTAGAGTGGGAATAAAGTCATTTGGTGGGTTTATTTTCAAGATTAAATATTTAATATGGCATACTTTATACAATGTGTAAAATCATAAAATGATAATTTTATGAATTTAACTATGAGTTTTATAAAATTTGCATGTTTTGATTCTGCAGCTTTGGTTCCACTGAGGGGAGGAGGGAGAAAAGTGAAGCCCTAGGCAGATAAAAGAATCATTACCCAAGGTGTGATGTATTAATTACCTTCAAATACAGTTAACCACAACCTGGTAAGAAAGACAATGGGGGATGGGAAGAGGAGGGGGGGCGGTTAGAGGTATAGTGAATACTTTAAAGGTCAATTGAATTATTTCATAAGGGGTATATGTATATATTTTTTTTCACAAGAAATCGTTCTGTGCCAGAAAAGGCGGGGAGGTTCTTCAGCAGAAGCGGGTAAATCCGAGCTTCTTCCTGCCTGCTGCAGTCACAGAGCAAGATACAGTAATGAAGGCGGCGCGGCCACACATTTATTTCATTCGAAATTCCTCTGTGGTCCTGTTTATATCGAACTCAGCACTGTTACAGGGCCGTGCTTGGAAAAGTTGCAAAACTTTTCCCTTGATGGAGAAAAGGAAGTCCTCATCAGACTCAGTGGAACGAATGAATGAAGTTATTCCCTTGGCCCAACATCTCCATCCACTCTCATACCAAATAGTCACAGAAACATATTTCCCCAATTCCGCGACTGGAATTTTACTCTCCCCTGGTGTTGCCTAGTATTGGAAGCACGGATTTCGAAAGTCAGCAGGCAACACACTCGGGTTTGGAATTGCCAGAGATTGGCTTTTGCAAGAGTCGATGCGCCTTACCGTCCTGTGTGGTATTTTCTCCCGGGAGCAGATTTTGTGAAATAAACAGTTGTTGAAAAGCATGAAGAATTAACGAAGTGAAAATCTCGGGCTATTTGTTCGGCAATTGACACGCAAGTGACCTCCTTAAATACTTACTTGTTTAAGGAGGTTCAGAGCTAGGATGAATGAATCTTGGGGGCGCTTGACCAGAACCAGCTTGTAAATCTCTTTAGTCTTTCGGGAAGTGGCGGTAAATTAATACGAATCCAGAAGGGAGAGGAGAGAAGAGGTTAAAACCCCCACACCGGAGCTCTGCTCTCGGCCCTTTGGAAAGACTCGCTTTTGCTGCTCTGGACCCTGTCGGTTACAGCCCGAAGAACCCAGCGGCGCTAGGACCTGGTTGGCGCCTCACCGTGGCCGCTTTCGGGCGGGCGGAGGAGGGAGAGGAGGAGGGGGATGTGGGAAAGGAGGGGTGTAGAGGGGGGCGGGGGGAGTCATTTATGCAGAGCAGGCGCTGCTGCCATTGCCACTCACACTCCCAGCGCGCTGCTTGGAGCCGGAGGGAGCTCGGGGAGCGAGCTAGCGAGCGCTCGGAGCCCGCGCCAGCAGAGGGGGCGCCCAGCCGCTGCCTGCACCGCCGCCTCCGCCGCGCTCGGGGGCCCCGGGAGGAGCAAGGGCGAGTCGGAGAGTCCGGGAGCGGAGCCCGGCGAGACCCAACTGCGGGAGGGCGCCCGCCCCACTCAGCCGCCTCCTGCGCCGGAGCCGGGGAGCGCCGGCCGACCGCCCCGCGGGCCGTAGAGCTGGGAGCACAGGTCCCCGGAGCCCCAGGGATGGTCTAGGAGTGGGTGCGAGGCTCGCTGCTCAGCTCCCTGCCGGGGCTCGCCGCCTCCTGCCGATCTCCCAGGGCTGCGAGCCGCGGCGGCCGGGGGCTGCGCGCTCGGGCGGCCCAGGCCGAAGAAGTTAAGTTGTGCGCTCAGCTTAGTGAGCGGAGCAAGCGAGCGATCGAAGAAGCAGCCAAGCGCCGGGGCCATGGGCTGGGGGAGCCGCTGCTGCTGCCCGGGACGGCTGGACCTGCTCTGCATACTGGCGCTCCTTGGGGGCTGCCTGCTCCCCGTGTGCCGGACGCGCGTCTACACCAACCACTGGGCAGTCAAAATCGCCGGCGGCTTCCCGGAGGCCAACCGCATAGCCAGCAAGTACGGATTCATCAACATAGGACAGGTAACCGCTGGCTGGCCGGGTTCTCGGCCCTGAAGCTGAGAGGGCGGGGAAATGGGGGGGAGTCCCCCACGACCTCGCGCTTGTCCCCTCCTCGTCTGTCCCCTCCCCCTCTTCCAGATGTGTTCTTGCAGCTGTTGCCCTAACTCTTCTGCGATGCTCTCTCTCTCCTCTCACTCACTCTTACACACACACACACACACACACACACACACACTCGGTCTCCAAAGTTGATACGATTTGTGTTTTATTTACTTGTTTCTTGCAAATCAGGAGGGACAGGTAGGGTCTCTGGAAGAATCACGAGTGTACATAACCCCCTGGTAGTTTCAGACCCGACCGGACCTCTTGCAGTGGAAAGTCGGGGAGCAGTGGACTCTTTTAGGGTTTGGGGGGGTAAGCACGCCCCTGGTGCCGGCTCCCAGTGGTTTCTGAGAGCCGGGATAAGGGGAGAGGCAAGGAAGGGAAAGCCTTTCCTGCTCGGACCTGAATTCTGCCCTGAAAAGAAGTTTCCTCTTTTAGGAGCGAGAGAACCTCTGGTCACTCAGTGAAGGCGCCAGAGGCGTGGAGGGCTGGAGCTAGACTCGAGAAAGGGGAGAGAGGAGGCGGCCGGACCCGGCGTGAGCGAAGACTTGTGGGGAGACCTCCTGGCTTCCCCTCTCAAGCTGGATAAGCGTGGGGGCTTCTAGATGCAGAGCCGGAGTGGGAGGTGTCAAACTTCCGAGACCACTGACCTGGTTCTGCTTTGGAAAAACAGCGGGTCTTCCCTCTGGGAGTTACGTGCGGGACCCGGAGGCGGCGGTGGCGCGGGGTTTTCGTGAGGTCCCGCGGGCTTCGGGCGGAATGACCCGAGTGGGGGGACTGTGAATTGGGGGATGTTATGGGAATGTTTGGAAGCACTACAGATTTGGAGGTACCTCCGGGCTTGGCTTCCTCGCTCTCTTTCCTGCAAGAAATGGGTGGAAGGGGCAGTGGAAGCAGGTCCCAGAAAGTACTCCCCCATCCTTACACCCCTCCCACTCGCTCCCCCTGGCCTGGCCCGAGGAGTGGCGCTGGTCTGACTCTGATGAGACTCTAATGGGGGAGGGAGGCGAGGGTGATCGGGGCGCCCTCACAGCAGGCGCGCTGCTGGGACTGCTCTGGCTTCACGCTCCCCGCGTGCTCTGCCTGGGTGAGGGGAGAGGAAGATGCCGGCTGGGGCCACTGGAGCAGGAGAGCCCAGACTCTTGGTTTCTGATGCTATGGACCTCCATGTCCAGGCACACGTCCTCCAGCATGGGTACTCCGGCTGCCTGGGGGACGCAGCATCCAGAGCAGGCAGAGCTGCTGCTGTTACTGCATCAAGCAGGAGTGCTGGGGCTTCGGAGGAGCAGGAGGGGTCAGGTGGGGGCATCTTGCTGCTGTTTGAGGGGCCAGAGAGTGGACATGTTCCGGAGAAACCAGTCTGGTGGAGGGCTGAGACCAAGGCAAGGGGCATGGTCTGTATTTCTCGTCCCCCAGCCTAACACACACCGGAAAGGAAGCCACAGCCAGCCAGATTTTTTTTTTTGTCCGAGTGCTTGTCATTTTCAGGAGAGTTTCATTCTAATGGCTTGTGAGGATTCTACCTGCTTCTTCTATATTCTTTTTATGGAAGAAAACATTAAGTCTATTCAAATCTTTTTTACATGAGCTTGAAGTTGGGGGGTGCTGCATGTGACCTGGGGAATGTAAAGGGAAAGGCTAATAATAAAAGTAGTCATGTTAATAATCTTTCCAGATGCATCTTTCAGGTTCAGCTAACACTGGGCATCTCCCATAAAAGCGGCATATTGGGAAGAATAGTTCTTGACCATACACTTTCTTCATAATCCACAGAACAACCATTTTTGTTGGATATTACTTCACTTACAGCAACAGGGAAACCAATATTCTGGAGAATTAACCCACACAGGCCACCTATCTAGACAGTACAAGGGTGTGAATCAGACCTAGGACTGTCTGGTCCAGGCCTACGCCTGAAAGGAAGGCGGAAGAAAGTAAAATCCCCATTTCCCTGAATTCTGATTTAGTGACTCAGTAGACGGAAAGCAAATGTCCAGGCTTAATTCACAGATACTTAATTCCAACTGACCTGGACTTCTTGAACCTAAGCAGCTTTAGGAATTATGAAAGTGGAAAGATCTGTATCAAAATAAACTCATTAAATAGAACTTACACATTTGGAACCTGTCAGAATGGGGGAGAAGAAATTGTCACAGAACTCATTTTTGAATAAGCAAACATTGTATTATCCTGCAACCTTGCCTGACTTTTTACAAAGGGCTTTAGAATGAAGATCCGTGGATTTTCATTTAAAAGGTAATACTAAGAAAATTTACATTCAAGTAACACCAACTGTGGTTTATTGTGGTTTTTACAATGCCAATGAGGAAATTGAGAGTTTACTGGGGTGACAGAGGACTCCTTGAACTGATGCCCTGACCAATGTAAAAAGAATTCTTACAGTGAAAAGCATTTCCTCTGTAGATCAAAGGGCTAAATCTTGAAGGTGGTAAATTGAGTTCACACATGCAATATCATTGCACTGTAAGGGCCATCTTTTTGTTGTTCTTTCTTTATATCAGTGAGCCAGCTGTGGTTCAGTTGAGGGCAGTAACTAATTTGCAAATATCTCTAGAATGTGCCCCTGTTTTTACTCATTTGGGCTTGGGGTCCCACCTCATGTGTCACAGATTGGAACTGAGGCCTTTTATTGTTTCTATAGTCGTTTAATATCCTGGTAGTATTTTTGAGGTCTTTTCTGTGTAGTATTTTAGGTGAATAAAATAGTGACTTTGTATCACAGTAAAAATTTGGTTTTGAATATCTGTTCAGAGTTTCGGTGTCATGTTTTCTGTAGCATCTTAGCATTTAAAAGCCACCATAGGTAAATTTCTGGCCTGGAGATTTCTACAGAAAACCTGGCCTGTCATGTTCAAGAAAGATAGTATGTAGAGAGTAACATAAGAGAAGTAAGCAAACAGGCAAAAAGAACATGCTTGACATCCTGGAAGGGGAACAGTAATGAAGCTTTTCTTGGCTTGGGTGATGGAGATAGCAGTTATTTTGGTAGGTTTTCACATAATGTTTGTATTTTGTGAATGGTTATGTTTCGAAACTCTAAAATGATGCTGTAACTAGTAGTAGTTTTCATGTCATTATATATTATATTTTTCTTGGCATTACCATCAGCTCTATAAAGTCCTGCATTTCTTCCCCTACAAGACCCAACTCCAAGCCGTCTCAATATTTAGTGTAATCAGCACTGCGAGGGTGGCTGAGGGTAGGGACATCTGTCTGTTGGCCCACACAGGGGTGGAAAAAAGAGGCCTAGTTTTTAGCTAGCAGTGGAGTGGTGAGAGGATAAAGAAGACATGAAAGAATAAGACCCAACATGATGTTAATTGTGAACCTTGGTTTGGCTGCAGTCTACAAACCTGGAGGACTTAACTTCTGGGTATTCCAACCCAGGGAGAAGGTCCTCTGTTTTGGCTCTGTGCGCCAGCTGCATTTATCCTTCTGTGAGGTGCTTTTAATCCTTGATTTCAAACTGAGATTACTAGATTACCCTCCCCACCCCCACCCCCCACAAAAAACTTTGTGATTTATCTTGAGCAAGATTCCAGAAAGATAAAGCCAGTGGAGACTAATACTGGGGAGAATGTTTTACCTGGCAGTCCCATTGAGATCAGAGACTTGGAAACCCTACAGATGCCACATGCAAGGTCTAGGAAAGCAGGAAAGTCAGTGAACTTAATGGAGCTTCTATTCCTTCATCTGTAAAAGAATAAATCAAATAATAGAGGGAATCGGCTCTGTACTGCTCAGCACATAGTTAAGTACCTTTGGAAGGTTTGTTGAATCCGAATCTGAAATAAGTGAGATTCAGACTTTATTGAGGTATGATAAAAGGAAGACATTTGTATAATGGAAAATGCAACACACTGAAGATCAGGAAAATATGTTTGATGACTGAGTCAAAAAAGCTAAATCAGAGCTCTGTAGACAGGGGAACGGGTTTTCCATTTCAACCAACAATTTGAAATAGTTTAAAAATAGTTTTCCGCTGGGTTCTAAACAGTTCTGGCTGATTTCCCATGGCAGTGTTCCCCTCCCTGGCTGATCGTTGCTGTAATCCATTAAATAATGTAGGATAAGGTCACTGGACATGGGAGAAGGGGACAAAAAGTTGGTACATTATGAGAAGTCGTGTATGAACTCCTATTTCACTTAATTCTGAATGTGGTTTGCATGACAAAGGTGACAAGAACCATTTTCCAAATCAGCAGGACAGGATTCTTTAGCAGGAAGAACCTTGTTCAGCAATGTCCTGAAGGTCTCTCACTTTCTTGGTTAGTTTTGACCTGTGAATAACGTGGGATGCTTGAAGTGCTGGTAAGCAGTGGAGGGTGAGTGCCCTGTGCTCATGGATGGCATCAGAAATAGGGGACAGGGCTAGTCTGGTGGGTTGTATGGGAGTGCACTGTGTTCCCCTAGTTAAATCCTTAGGCCTTTTGTAAATGGATGTGGGAGCCCCAGATTGATCCCTGTGTGATGCATCTGGCTTTGCACCAGGCAAGAACCTCGGCTCTGATCTCCACACCCAAGAACCTTAGCTCTGACCTCTGCTAGCCACCCTCACATGCATAGTTCTCATGAGTGGGGGAACCTTTCAGGAGAAAAGCATTTCAGAGTGCTTGGTCTGCTGATGGTGGGTCTGTTGCTTTAACCTCATAGGCTAGGAATGGCTTGTATGTGGCCATTGGGATTTTCGGGGTCTATTTGAAATGAAACACTGCATTTTTGTGAGCCCCAAGGCAGTTGAATTTGCCTTATGACTATCTTTCATGAGTTTATATCCAGAGGTCCTAATCTTAAAGGTCAGCCAGAGAAGCAGGGTAGTGCGCTGGGAAAGTGTCCAGCCATGTCTGACTCTCTGGTTAAGGGAGGGAGTCCTGACCCAGAAACATCCCCTGGGCCGG